TGTAAATTTCACATTTCTTACCCAGATTCTTTCCCATGTATCCAACATTATTGGTTCCTCAATATTTTGAGCCCATTTTATCATACAATCTCTTAACAATGGCTTTTTCCTTTTGAAAACATGCTTGTGCAGACCCTGACATTACTGTAGGTGAAGGAGAAAAAGCAGTAAGAACCATATAAAATCCACGTAAAAATTCCATTTTAATATGCTCATGCAGCGGAATGCAGATATGTCTAAAAAGCCCTTAATCTCTTTGTCTGGGCATATCCTGTGCCAGGAGGGTGTCCAGCTGACTGTAAATAAGTCCTCTTGCTGAGGGACCGATCTTGTTTGGCACCCTTCCTCAGGGAGACCCCTGATCTGCAACTGTTCCTGACAGAAGGCAACACATTTGGGGACCCACTTCCACCCCCAAGGAAAATTCTCCCCCCATCAGCCGGAAGCCACTGGGGCCTATCCTTTTCCAGTCCCTGGGCCATCAGTTCAGCATCTCTCCATCACTAGCGCTTGCTTTCTTCCCCCTCAGCCAATCGGATGGCTGGGCTTGATCACCATGGCGACTCTTGTGAGCTGAGATGTGGAGGCGGGGGATATAAGGGACCAGCATCTACCCAGAGCTGAAGATTAGCTGGTGCTGCTTTGCATGGTGTAGGCTTTGGAGGAGGAGGAGGAGGAGGAGCCACTGCCAAAGCCTATATTTACTCTTGGGAGACCCATGGGCAAAATCCGTTTAAATGCTTTTTAAGGTGGGTGGGAGGGAGGGAGGAAAGGGCTGGAGGAGGATGCCTGGGGGAGGACTTGGGCAGTGGATTAGGAGAGAGGGAGCTTGCAGGGTTCTGATCCTCCTGCCCATCTCCTGTCTGCAGAGACCTCGGATCCCCAGCAGCAACTGCGCCTCGGGGTGTTGCAGAAGCTCAGAGTTCACCGGAGAACCCCCCTGGCATTACACCTAGCCCCCTGGGAAGGAGGAAGGCTTCGGGACGGTGAGGTCACCACCACCACCACCACCACCACCCGGGCAAGGACTGGTGGGGGGTGAAGGGAGGGGAGCAAGGAAAGAAGCCAGGAGCAGGGGAGGTCTGCTCCCTCTTCCCTGCCCCATTAAGTGCTTCAATATGGGTTAACGCCCCTCCCCTTCTCTGTCTGACATGTGGGGATAGGAGGGAGGCAGAGTGAGAATCTCACAAAAGCTCATTTCTTCAAAAGAAATTTCATCCGTATTGAAAGGACAGTAAAGATGCACACAGACAAATATAAACATGCACTTTCTCAGATAACTTTCATCCAATTTGTTACCCCATTTAAATTGCTACTAAGTTTTCTTCGTCCAGGCTTGGAATGGGTAGGAGCCGGAGGGCGGATGGCCTGGGCATTTCCAGGGCTGGTCTGGGAGCAGGATTTCTCCTCTGAATGAACTGAGGCTGGATGAGACTCAGAGGTTCCTTCTTTCTCTTTGCGAATCCCTTCCTGGCCCTGCAATCCCAAATTCTCTCCTCAACTATGCAGCTCCTCTCCCTGTCAGGGGCTCCTCCGATGCTTCCCAAGACAGGAAGCAAGCAGGGCAGGGATCTTTCTTTCTTTCTTTCTTTCCCCCTTTCTTTCTTTGCATCTGCTGGAGCAAAAACCAGGAAGTCAGAATCAACGTCCTTCCTTCTAGAAGATTTTCTAAACCCTCCCTTGGGTGACCATTGATTTATATTTTTTTAATTTATTTTATTTGTATCCCCTCTTCTTTATTATTTTTTTATAAATAAATCAAGAGGGCAAACATATCCAACACTCTTCCTCCTCCCACTTTCCCCACAACAACAACCCTGTGAGCGAGAGACTGGCCCAAAGTCCTGTCCAATAGTTCATCAGTAAAAATAGGTACACACACACACACACACACACACACACACACACACACACACACACCAGGACTACAGGCATTCTTACTCCAGAGCCACATTCTAAGTTACCCTCACACTTTATCACTTCACTAAGAGTTCTTCCTCAATTGTCCATAACCCTTTATTTTACCCACATTAAGCAGAAACAAGAGAAGGCGGCTTCTCAGCAATTACTGTGTCCCAAAGGCCGCAAGTGAGTTTTAATGGTAGTTGGGTGCCATGGGAAGAGTTGTGCATTTGCCCAGTGGCTACCAGAGGACACAGGGCTAGAGATGAAGCCCTTAAACCTGAGGACAAACCTGGGGTGTTGCTTTCTGCACAGACACTCCTTTTGTCTGCAATTAAAACTTTTTCCCACCCCATTATCTTCTCCTAAGAAGCTTCTGAAGCAAAGTGACTGACTTTAGTGGGCCAACAGGGCTCGTTGTCAGCCCTGCCATCCAACCTAAGAAAGCTCTGTTAAACAAAAGGGCAGGCAATGTGCAAAGCGTTCGGTCACATTTATCCTCTTTATAGGTGTGGGAGAAAGCAGCACGCTGGCATTTTGCATTCAGCAAGCAAGACAAAGTTGTCACTATCTAGATCAGATCAGAGGACAAAAAAGCAGAGCAGAGGTTGCAAATGCACTGACCTAGTTTCAGGTCAGCCTCATCTGCTGCACCTGTAAAATCACAGTCTGCACCCAGGCATCATAGTAGTCACTGAAAGGTCCTTACCTGTACATGTAGATATGTTGATTGGGAACTTGGTAGCACCTTTTCCAATTAACTGATTTTATTAAAAAGTATAAGCTTTCAAAAACCCTCATCAAAGTAGTTGGCCAACAGAACTTCAGAATTTCTGGACACCTTTTCCAATCTGAAATATTTTGCCATCCTGTGCATCAGGTTGGAGAAAGAGATCTAAGAGCCTTTGGGATCTCCTGCCAGGTTCAGGAAGGGGAACCCTTTCTAATCTTCCTGTTTAAACCACCCGACACCTGGCAGAAGAGCCACTGGTGTGAAGTAGCTGTTTGCCATCTCAGATGGTTGAGAAGGAGCTTCCTGATGTTATCTCTTTCCCTCCACAGTGTGTTGCATACTTAAAAACTGTCCCCCCCTACTGACGGAGGCTTTCAAAGAAAGATCCTCCTTTGGTGGTAACAATGACCAGGTACCTGGATGAATCGGATGTCATGATGGTGGAGGAGGGCTTCACCACTCGGGATCTCCTGGAGAGTCTCCTCCTCAAGGTTGCCCAGACGGTGAGGACCAAAAGACAGTTGGCTTTCCATGCATCAAGGATGGAGGGAGGGTTGGGGTGTGTAGATCATCCCAGGGTGCGGACTTCCCATTGGCAAATGTGCCTGAGCCATTTGGGATAAAGGATAAGACTCCATAATGTGCACAGAATTCAGCTCTTCCATTGCAGAATTTGTGTAGCCAAAGTTAGTGAAACCCACCCCCTCCCAAAAGTGGAAGGAGAATCTTCTTCTCGGTTTTGCAGCTAGCTTGTGAGACTCCTAAGACAGGCCATGATGACCAAACTATCATCCATCTGGAGAGGGCCGAGGACCTGGGCATACAGTCTCTGAGGGGAAGCACTGTGACTCCAACCTTTACGGAGGTGGGGAGACCCCTGGAGAGCCGTGTGCAAAACCGATCCGTTTGCACTTGTGCTGATTGTGTTTCTTCCTCTCCAGGGCAGCCGAGAAGCCTTTTTTGTGGCAAATCTGGAGGACGTGGTGAAGAAACATGTGCGCCTGCTCAAGGCCCTGCCGCGGGTCAAGCCCCTCTACCCCTTGAAGTGCAACAGCAGCAGGGGCGTGGTGCAGATGCTGGCAGGGCTGGGGGCTGGATTCAGCTGCACCAACAAGGTGGGGTGGGATGGTCCCTGGAGACATGGGGGTGGGGAGGCTCCGGAGGAGGCAGGCAAAAAGGTCATACTGAACCACACCAGGACTGAAGAAACTCCCTTGTTGAGAAGCGAAATGTCTTCAAGGAAAAACAAAGGAAGCCCAGTTGCCTTTTCAAAAGAAGCCCCTTTGGGATGTCCTCCAGGTGCCCCACAGAAGAGGGGGAGAGGGTGCCGGTTCCCTTTCCAGCCCAGGCGGGGCGGGAAGTCCGGAGTTGTGGAGCTCTCCTGCAGCGGATCAACGCTTACGTCCAGGGAAAGAAAAGCAGATGTGAATGTTAGTCTCATCCTTCCAGGAATCTCGATGAGACAATCCGACTGCTGCCAGTCCTCGGTTTATAGCCGTTCGTTTAATAACTGTTTGAGATTACAACAGCACTGAAAAATGTAATGTATAGACCAGTCATCACACTTACAATTCTCACAGCCTCCTCACAGTCACAAGATCAGGATTTGGGGGCTCAGCAGCCAGCATGTATTTATGACCGTCGCAGTGCCTAGGATCACCTGATTACCATTTGCCACAAAGTAAATGGGGCAGCTGGATTCGTGTGATTCACTTAATGGCAGTGATTTGCTTATCTGGCTCAAAACATCCGGCACGGCCTCCTTAAAACCACCGCCTCACTCAGCAATGGAAAGCCTGATCCCAGTTGTGGCTGTAATTCGAGGACTTCCAGTCAGGGTCACATTGCAGGTAGAAACTGGTCCCTCTCTGCTTATGAGGAACCTCTTCCCCAATCAGAGTTCCAAGCAGATCTGATAATACTACAGCTGGAGAACCTCTTGCACTTGGATTTAGGCACTTCAGTAACCTGGGATAGAAGGGGGGAGGCTTTAAGATGAATGCCTAGAAGGCATATTGTGTCTTTTGAGAATGAATCAGTTCTGCCTCCTTGGATCTAATGACAGCAGCTCATAGCCACAAGAGTTCTCTCTAACCTTGCAAGGTGACTGTGGACTACAAATCCTCCAGACATCACCTCCCCAAAGGCTTTGCAAACTGTTCCTGAAATGTTTCCTTTAAGAAAAGGCTCCATATGCATCAGTGAGATGTATGTGGGTTTTTTTTTAAAAAGGGTTGAAAGATCAGTGTGCCAAGAAAGATCTCGGAAGGCAAAAACAACAACAAAAAACCCGATGGTAATTAAGATGGAAGTTGAATTGAATTTGCCAAGTGTGATTAGACACACAAGCAATTTGTCTTTGGCGCAAAAGCTCTTAGTGTGCATGCAAAGCAGCAAAATCATCATCATCATCATCATCATCATGCCAGTGAGAGGAAGAATAGAGAAGCTAACAAGGATAAACAATAATATTTCAGCCATGCTGCATGGGTAAATGTGCATAGATATTAGACAGGCTGAATTCAATCCATTCCATTAGTATCATCAGATCTGCTGATTGGAGAAGAAGCTCATCAGAAGCAGGGAGGGACCAGTTTCTACCTGCAAAGTGAGCCTGACTGGAAGGCATTACAGGTATTCCTCAACCTATGACCGCAACTGGGATCAGACTTTCCACTGCTGAGCAAGCTGGTGGTTTTAAATGGGCCATGGTGGATTTTTTGACCTTTTTGTCATGGTAGTTAAGTGAGTCACAGCTGCCCCACTGATTAAGTGCCCATGTCACAGCTGCCCTATTTGGGTGGATAATAGAGCCAAGCAAGCCGAGAGACTTCCCAGAAGGAAACGCGTGCAGTGAGAACACCGGGAAAGAAAAGAAAAGACCTGAACCCTTGACAATTGACTCTCCCCAGTGGGGTTTCACAGGATGCAGGAGTTTGGGGGTCAGTGCCTGGTGTTGGTATCAGCCCCATCACCCCCAGCCCCAAGTTCAGATGACCAAGTCCCTTTACCTTCTCTGGTTGTCACTCCCCAGACAGAGATGGCCCTGGTGAAGAGCACTGGAGTTCCACCGGAGAGAGTCGTCTGCACCAGCGCCTGCAAACAGGTCTCCCTGATCCGATATGCGGCCAGCCAAGGGGTACAGCTGATGACTTTTGACAATGAAGTAGAGCTTGGGAAAGTCGCACGGAGTTTCCCGTCCGCCAGGTAGGCCAGCGGCACCTGGACACATTATACCGGAAGAGGTGGCTACAAAACCTGGGGGAGAAATCTTGTCAGTCATAACTGGGTACCAAACTTGAAGAGCTCAAGAGCTGTTGGCCTCCTAGAAAGAGTTTATTCCTCCTGGTTATCTTAACTCAAGAAGCCGGGAGCCTTCTACAAATAGTCTCTTCCAATAAGCCCATTTTCTATTCAGTTCAAGGAAAAGATACTGTGAATTAGAGCACTGAAGCTCACAGTGGAAAGATTTAGGGCCTCCCGCCATCTTTGCCACTGAATGGTTCAGCATGTAGGTAACTGGATTAATTAATTAAACCAGGGTTTAGTTAGCCATGGGGAATGATGTTGTTTCAACACAACCAGGTATTTCATTAGATTAAAGTTGGAATGTACCTTGGAGGTCTTCTAGTCCAGCCCCCTGCTCAAGCAAGAGAACACATACCATATTTTGAAATTCTCACAGTACAAACTCAGTTTCCTTCCTCTGCCTTTTGACATAGTGCGAACAATTACAAATATGTAGTAATTCATTCTTCCCTTACTTGTTTCTTCTCTGGAATCCCATTGTCTCCTGTCAAGCTGGGACTGATGAGGATGGGTGGGGAAGATTCTGCATTTGCAAATGGGCTTTCCATGGTCCAAGGGTAGCTCAGCCTGTATTCTGGGGGCAGCACCATGCACTAAACCACCATAATCTGGGCTGAGTTCACCCAATATTAAATGTGGTTGATGGACCAGCAGGTCACCTAAGCACAACTTGGGAAGGTGCACATTAATCACCAAATTAAATCAGTGAATAAAATTCAGAATTAAATCAGAAGAGAGATTTTCTGGGTAGATTTGCACACATGTAACTTCATTACTGAATTACCCATTTTCAAGGTTCACACATGGTTTCCATCAACAGTAAACTAAAACTGGATTTGCAAAACACATTAAACCTGAAAAATACTAAGCAACATTAAAACTAATAAGATTTAGCATTATGATGTTAATGATGAGGCTTTAGCTGTGCCTCATCATTAGGGCCATTTCTTCTTCCTCAAAGGACAGTGTAACTCCCATTTTGCATAGGATCACATCTCAGAAGAGGAACTGGGCATTCAGGCATGTCTTGGGACATTTTTGTAGTCAGTGGCCTTTTTTCTTTTCTTTT